CCCCAGGGAGTTCGCCACCAAGTAGCTCATCACCAAGGCACGTCACCACCGGGTCAAACAACAAGGTACTTAGCCAAAAAATTTATACATCACAAAAAATGGTACGTGACCAAAAACGGTTACATCAGTATGGTTGAGTTTATCCACAAATTTCTTATTTCTGAATAATTCATCAACAAGGGCAAAAATATCATCTCCTATGATAGACTAGGACTTTTGAAAGAAAATTGAGGGAAATCCATCTGGTCTTGGGGCTTTGAGACCTCCCATTGACAATACTATTTCCTTGACTTCTTCCTTAGATGGTGGGGCCAACAAGGCAGCATTGTCTTTTTCTATGATTATTTTCTCAAATAGATTCTCAACTCCCACAAATTCAAATGACCTCTGAGATTGGAATTGTTCTTCAAAATGCTCAATTATGTCATCTCCAAAATGGGTTTTATTCCATGATTTTAGTCTTCCTTTTATTTTATCAAGTTTCTTAGAGATTCTGAAAGTGGCATACCCTTAGACTTTTTTAGCTCATTCTTGATTTATTATTTTCCCACATTCGGATTCCATCAACCAGTTTTTAAAGAATTTGAAGGGCTTTGATTTTGAGATTGATTCTAGGTTTATTTTGATCTCCAAAGGTTTATGATCAGAACCCCATCTTTGACAGACTGAAGCTTTTGTAGAAGTAAAAATATTCAGGAATTCATCCGAAACAAACATTCTGTCCAACTTCCTTTCTCTTCCAACCATTCATTTTTGCCCATTAGTCCAAGTTCTAGAGCCCCCAACTATATTGATTTCTGTGAGGTGGAGGGAGTTCATAAAATTTTTGAAATTTTGAGCCATGATGGAATTATTTTGTGTGAGTCTCTTTAGTCTCATCAGTGTTACAGTCAAAATTAATGTCAGTATTGAGATAGTCAGGGGGATTCTAGTTCGGTGTATATCCAGTCATTCTTCATTCAAGATTTTCCAGAATTTTGCTTTTTGGTTTTTGTGGGGTTCTCCATAAAGAAAGAAAAGCATCCAAGGAAACTCAGGGGGGAGGGGGGGGGAGATTTTATGTGACAAATTATGCTCCTTGTTGACTTCTTAATTATTTCGATTTCAACATTATCTTTCCAGTAAAGAGCCAAACCACCCGTAAAGCCCTTAGCCTCCATGAATTTCAAGTTGGGATAGCCTATTTTCCTTTTTAAAAATTCTATTTTTTGAGTTCTCACCTTGGTTTCAGACAGAAAAATTATATTAGGAGTGAACTTTTTGATATGAAATATAAAGTTGTTGTGAAAATATTTTCTTTATATTCCTATACAATTCTAGGCAAAAATAGAAAGACCAATATTAGAGTAAGGGGAGAAGCGGATTACCTCCTCATGGGAGTCATCAGAATCTTGTCGGGAGGGGGAGGCATCCTAATTGCCCAACATGGCTTTGTCAACAACATTGTTGAAATCTTCTTGTTCTTCTAGGGAGACTCAGTGAGAGGATGGAGGAATTGGTTCATCTGGGAGAGGTATACCACTTGAGGGACCATCTGAGGGGAGATTATCAAACTACTCTAAATCTGAAGAGTGAAGAAGTCTTCCTCTATAAATCTTTTGGGTCTTTTATGACCCGACTCTGAATCCGAGGCTCAAGTCGGGTCTTCCTGTGTAGGTCATGGGATTTCTATCGAGGTGAGATTTGTCAAAGCTGGGTTTAAGTTGACACCACTCATGGCCCTTCAAAATTGATTCAAGATACGCTGCGCCTAGATGAGAGGAGCGTCATGATGAAAAGTCATTGACTAGGAGTTACCTACTTCCATTCTTAGAAGGCTGTCAGATTAACCTAACTCGTTGGAAGTACCTGCTCTACCCGAGCTTCCACCTACTCCATTTCCCAAGGAAACTCTCATTGCAGAGGATTCACATCTCTCCCGATGGCGGCCCATCCAGTCCTCCCTTGGAGGGTTTCTGGCTCCTTGACGTTATTCTTCCTCTTGTCTATGCAAGAGTTGTTCTTGTTTGACAAACTCTCCCAAGCCAAGGAGGCACTAGTCCAAGCGCATTGGAGTTTCCGCTTTGAGCTAGGGACCCGGGAAGTTCATGGGTCGATAAGCAAAGAAATTTTCTTGGTTGTTTGTATGAAAGTTGGAGAAGGAACATCTATGATGACCATGACAAATTCAGACACAAAGAAAGAAGACACTTGGGAGACTTTAATATATGTATATTGCCCAGACAATGGGACTAAAAAAACCACCAACCTTTAAAGGTCTATCAATGTCAACTACCACCTTAAGGCAGATATAGCTTCCATGGGTCTCAATTGATATACAATCTAGAAAGGAAGAACCTGCTTGTTGAGCTCTTTCGATGTTCACCATTTCAAAAGGCAAATTGTGGACCTAAAGCCAAACTTCAGCCCTCGTGATAACTGACTCTCGTTGATCTCTCCCTTCTTGCTTCTACTAGGAGGAGCCACTAACAAAAAATGTATCAGGGACCATTGTCTCTGACATTAGTCCTCTTGATATCAGAATTGGAATCTATAGTAGCCTCTATTAAGGGGTTGGACAAGGATGTTGTTTTCATTGGCACCCTAGGTGCCATGGACTCGACTAACAAGGTCTTGCATGGGAATGGTGTCTCATGGGAAAACCCTACCTATCATGTAGAGACACCATATTCCTCTAGTTTCCTCCGAAAGATTGTTTAAGAAATCAAAGATGACGATGTTCTACTTGTTGTTGTTTTGGAGGAGTTGGGGTAAACACATCATGCAGATTTTGTTGTTCGTTGTTTGACCCTTCCTCTCTTCCGGGTTGCTCAGTATGATCCATCCTAAAAGAGAGAAAAAAGTTAGAACCCTCACAAGAGGTAGAGAAACCCCAGAAAATGGGTGAGCAAAACAAACATGAGAAGACAAACCTGAGCAAAACAAAGCACATGAACCAGTAGCACTGGAAGTAGTAAGAGGATCGAAGAAGTAGAATTGCTTGGTGGTAGAGGAGAAATGGATGAACAGAGAAGAGCGGGGATGAAAAGAAAGACCAAGATAGGGACTTAGAAAAGCATAACATAAACGACTACTTGGAGTAAAGTTTGTTGACATCTCTAGATGTCAACATAAGGGAGGGAGGGCAAAAAACTAAAAATCTTAAAGTAGCTAAAGAAGCTAACAACTAACAATAATTACGAATGCAAATAAAAGAAAGAGAACTATAAGATCTTACAGACTGGAACACTTCCCTTTAATAGAGATGCTTGGTATTTCATGCCTGCAACTCCTCTCCATTCCTTCCCTTCATACGTTCCTTTGGCAATTGAATGTAGCATTATTAACTATTATAACAGTTTATTCTCCTGATCTTCCCTTGTGAATATAGATGTTGACAATGGATTCCTTTGTGGAGTGTCGTCCTTCAGTTGGAGCACCAGGGCCCTGATGGGCTGAATTTCATTTGTTGTAAAATGCAGCAAAAGTGCAAAATGATTAAGTGTAAAACCTTGGTTTAATTTTGCTTTAGATTTGACTCTTATTTGTTTGCGAGAAATAATATAAAGTAATTTTTACTATATAATAATGGAAATGGGAGGATTATTTGTGCAGGAGAGAGGTAGGAAGCAAGATGATGATGTCTCATTAAGGGGGCATTCGCTTTTGGATTTTGATAGGGGAAGTTGGTAACTGGTAGGATCGTCAATTGGACTGGATTTGGTCCAATCCAATATTGGTCCATTTACAAATATATATATATATATATATATATATATATATATATATATATAAACTGTGAAAAAACTAATGTATGTTTTGTTTGGTTATCCAACTTCCAAACTTTCGAGATTAACACTAAATTGCATAGTTTAGAAATCCAAAATAGCCCAAACCAAATAGCACCAAGAAAAGCAAAATTATCTAAGCCATAAGAGAATTCTAAGTCAAACAAAGTCAATCAAAGTAGGCACGTACCTACAGGAGGTAAACAATTTTAAATATGATAGTTTTGTTTGGTTTTTATTTAATTGTATTTTGCAAGTGGAAAGCTATGTTCTTCCATGATATTTTTTTATTTTTCAATGGTTAGGATAAAGGGTTATCACCTTTTTTTATAGTTGGTTGTTTTTTTTTTTGTTATTTTTGAAGCAAAAGGGAAATAATAGAAAAACGGAATATTAGTCATATAAGAGATCCTAATGTGCTTTGGGATTTGACTTGAACCTTTTATCAAACAGTTTGTCTTTGCTTATAATCTATTTCTCCCTAGAATTCGTAATACTTAATTTTGTTATCATTGTATCTATGGGGTTGAGTGATAAGTTTGATAGCTTAATGTATTTTGGTTTGGGGCAAGGCGGGCTGGTCCACTACATCTTTTCATTTTAATGATTGATAATTTGATATTAATAAAATTTTAAGCTGGCCACCCCTCCACCTGGAGTAAATTTTGGGGTTAAAAAAGAACAAAACACTTGCAAACATGACAAAAAGCGTCTAGTCACTTCCACCATGAACAAAGGTAAAGAGAATTAAAATGTCAAAGAAAAACAAAAGCAAGGCTTCCAAAGGCGAAGATGAATTGAGATGAGTACGTTAGACCAAGGGCCAAGATGAAAATGTCTCAAATTCCAACAAATAATGTTTCCTGATTTCTACCCCACAGAAGCCAACACATACAAATCACCAATCGAAACACACACTCTCTACCTAACTCAACAATTTATTAACTCTAGGCCTTCACAGTTGAGCATATAATGAATAATCATTTAATAAGAGGATGAGAGGGCATCGGTTCCAATGTCATCAGCTATCACAAGTCAATCATTCCATGAATCACGTTGGACTTAGAATGGAACCTTCACAAAATCTCCATGAACCATCATATTGCCTTTTCAGTAAGTACCTGATTTTGTATGTGCTGCAACCAACCAGTTTAAACAAAGTTCGTTAGTCCATCAATCAAATAAACGGACTTCAAATTTTACATAGGCACCGTCATATGCTACTATTATATTAGCATATAATTTCTCTATTTTACATAGTCCATAAATGCCAATCCAGGCTTTCCAATATTTTAAGTGTAGAGGACCTAGAGGTAAAATAGGCAGAAATAAGATAACATTGACCCTTGAATACTCAGAATTTACCAAAGCAATATACAGATTATAGGGGTTTCCAATCTTTAAAGGCAGGCAGGTCTATCAACTCAATTGCACATGAAATTTCTCTATTTACTATTATATTAGCAATTTATATTGCCTTCAGGCCCAGGCCTTCAGGCCAGGCCCATTCAAATTTTGACAAAAGCCCAATCCGAGCTTGCCCACGTTTCACCCCTAGTGTTAGATGCACATGTGCTAGGAAGCTGAAGAGGCTTTTTGAAATTTGAAAAACCTCGTTTTGAACTTCCTGAGTTTAGGCCAATCGAATCATTGACAAACTAGATTTTTGGAGTATATGTTCACATAAAAACATTGGTTTCAGTCACCTGTAGTAAGTAGGGTTCTTTGGTTGAGATTCATCAACAAGTTCTGCTGCTTCCTCCACCATAGCCTCAATTTCTGCTATTTCCCCACTGGTCCCATTTGATACAATTTCAGCTTGCGAGACTGACAATTTCAATAGAACAAATCTCCAAAAACAAGACCTAGCTTTTGCAGATTCAGCCAAAGCCTGCCACTGTTCAAACATGAACACAAAAGCATTATAGTATTTATAAGGGGAACTATATATATATATACACACAAAGAATATGGTGGCCTTTTCTCTGAGATAATATTTGTGGTACGAATGATTGAAATCACAGACATGAAGGGCCTATTCTGAACCACATAATGAGTGTCAACTACCTTGGACCTGGCTTGCCAAGTCACCAGATAATCAGCCAAGTTGAATCATTCCTCGATATGGTTTCTTTTATTTATTTGTCACATAACCATGTTGGCCATGCAACGTGTTAAGTGAAAATGGGAAACTACATTCCATGCCATCTAATCCAAACAAAACTTCTAGTGAAAAACAGTGGACCAACAAAAATACTGGAATGTGACACTAGAAACCTAGATGGTGAAGAGTTAAATTTACAAAAAGAAATGTCTTGAAGATCCAAGAATTTTATTAATTTCTGTGATTTACAATAAATGTCAGCATACTACTAAGAGATATAAAAGAAATGTGCATTTTACCTGAGCAAGCATAGAGTCTGCAAGAATCTCAGAGAGACCATGAACTTGATAGCCAGGTCCAAGAGCTTCAGCTTTGATGGTCTGCCATTCTTGGACAAGGGCCTCAGCCTCTTCTACAGGCATTGATTTCTTGTTTAAATCCTTATTTAAAGGAGAGCGATCATCAGAAGGCCATGAATTTTGTAGGATTTGTGCATCTTGGAGATAGTTCATCTGCTTCTTAAGAAAAACCAGCAGCTTCCTTAGTCTTCCACTGATATTACTCCCATCAATACAAGCAGGACCTGGATTATAATCCAGAGAAGGGTCGATGCTCCAAGAAATGATACTCTTGTCCATCTTTGGTTTACCAGAGTTCCAAGTAGACACATTTCTCATCTTCCCAAATTGCATGCCTAAGAGCTTACAGGTAGTGAAAACAACACAACCTATAATTGTAGCAATTGTTATCCTTCCAACCGTATCACCCAGGGCCCACCAGCTTTCCCAAACTTTGTTATGATGTGATCCTAGATTTCTCTTTAGCTGAAGAGATTGTGTGATAGCACTGTTTCCATCACTCATCTTGCTCACAGTGAATAGGTTTTGCAAGTTTGGTGGTGCCAATTGCTTCACAGCCAGCCCTAGATTCCGGGTAGAGTTCAAATGTGAGAGAGGTTCCACACAAGCTCTATTATCAGTAGGTGAAACAAAGGTCACCGATCTGGAACCCAAATTAGACATGGTCTGTGGTGTTCCTTTGTTTTTCTTGTTACCTTTGTGACTCTTATTTTCGCCACCAAAGAAGTTTACCTGCAGAGATGGTCAGTCTCAATATTGTTCCCTGTTTTAGATTTTTTTAGTTGATTCTCAATCCATAATTAGAAGTCTCACCAAAGATGGAGAACAATCCTGTGTATCAGGGAAAACACCAAGCACAGCATCCTTCATCCATGTTTCCTGGTCAATTTCAGCAGGTTGTCTGGCATAAGAAAATATCAACCTTAAGGCAGGCATGGAATCTGATAGAAGGGCAGATATGCAATGAAAGATCCCCTCACCCCCAACACACAAATGTATTAAAAGAACAGCACAAGCAGCACCTCGCAACCCTTCAGTGGGCCTCCCTTGTCAACCAAATAAAACACAGTCAATCAAGAACCCAGTGGTTGAATAAGGTCATGAGGGGAATCTACTTGCACTTTACTCAGGACTAATTGGCCATAGAAACAAGGCAGGGTCTACCTTTTTTTGGAAACAACCAATGAGGAGAGACTTTTGTAAAGAAAGTACCCAAAATGAGAGAGAGAGAGAGAGAGAGAGAGACCGAATCATTAACTCACTAGTAACTTTGTCTCCTCCTTCCCATTAATTCCTCCAATTGGCAATTATCTCTCCTCATTAATCATGCCATTAACTCTCCCTCCAATAACCCATGCCACTAATTCTCTCTCCTCTCAATTACTCCATAAAATTGCCTAAAATTCATTAACTCCATCTATATCTATACTCGTTTCAATTTAATTATAATTTTATATCCATTTCTTTTTATGTTTAATTATAATTATTAATATTTGATATGCAAAAGTACATTTCGTTATAATTATAACACATTTAAATTCCATTTCAAACTTAAAATTATAATTTAAAACCCACTTAATATATTTCCATTTAATTATAATTATCAATGGAAACGTATAATTATTAACAAATTTATTTTTTGAAAGATGATATAATTATTAATTATAAATAATAAAAAGTATAATAAAAAATTACCCTATTTTCAAATTATCCAATAAGAAAACTTAAATTAATTAGTACAAATAAAATATCATAAAAATTATAAATTATATTCCATTTACGTTCCATTTAAAACAATAAAAATCCACTAAAAATGTAGAGATACAGTAGATTAAGCTTGTGGTCCCATCTATTTATTTTTGTATTGCTATTTTTCATTACTGTTATTTGTTTCTTTCTTTTATATAGGAAGCAGGGCTAGTATTGTCTTTATAATGTTTTTTATTTGCTCTAATATAAATAGCAATCATTGGGGCAGCAGGACCACAAGATTCTGCACCCGTTTTTCTCTCGTTCTCTGTGTTCTCTCTTCTTTGCTTCTGCTCTCTTCTCTCTCTTCCTTTTTCTTGTTGATTTCTCATCATAACCTGGTTTGATTTTCATCTATTTCAGCCAAGTTGGTACCAAAGCTGGTTTATGATCGAGTAGGGTTCTCATGTGGACTTGATCCAGCCAACTACATGAGAATTTTCTAGGGCTGGAGTTCACAGCACTTGTCACCTGATTCTTGGAGGTTATTGGGGAGTTCAGTTGCTGTCCAAGGTGTTGTATGATCTTGGAGATTGCTCAGTTCCTAGATCTTTGAGTGGGTTCAAGTTTTAGAGGTTAAACCATTGATTGGAGGTGGTGTACGTATTTTCTGGGCATATTTTACATCTTTCCTGAGATTGACAACTAGCATAAGTCCTTCTGACTCTTCTGGAGGGAGTGGTTGGCAAAAAAAGGTTTCTCCAGGGATGATTCTAGGGTTTTCTGTGGAGACCGATCAGTTTTTTATATTCAGTTGTGATTGGGACATTGTGTTTTTTCAAGTTCTAGTGACAAGGAAGGTGATTGGGACCAGCCATAAGGCAAATGGAAATCTACTTGCTTGAGCATCCACCTAGGATTAATAAAGGAGTTGGGAGGTCTTTTGTTTCTCAAACTGTGAGTCAAATTATGCTTTGGCATAATCAATTGGGTCATTTATCTTTTGGATCTTTGAAGAGTCTTTTTCCTACTTTATTTGAGTCAGCCCAAGTGTTTAACTTGAGATGTTTGTTTCTCCATTTGTTCCACTATCTCCGCCACCAGTTATACCATCAACACCTCCATTTGTTGCTCCACCATCAGCTCCTTCAATGTCACTACCAGACTCATTACAACCTGCCTTGCAGTTTTTCCAATGCCAACGCAAGAGGGTTGATTCGACGGATGCTCCAATAGGGAAACCCGTACCACTCTTTGTTGGACCATTTGAGATTCTAGGCTCGACTGATACAGTTCCAGTTATTTCACTTGAGCATGCTATTGCTTCTGATCCCATTGATGCTATGTATGTACCGAACACTAATTTTGCAGCTGATCTTGATCAGCCCATTGCACTCCATAAGGAGTACAACCCATTGCATTTCACACCATCTTTCCTACAATAACCTATCTCCCTCCTACCATACCTTCCTTTCTTCCCTAAACTTTCTGTCTATACCCAGGAATGTTAGTGCAGCTCTCTCTAAATCTGAGTGAAAAACAACTATGCAAGAAGAAATTGAGGCTTTGATTAAGAATCAGAAATGGGGAATAGTTGATCTTAAAATAGAGAAAGAGACAATTGGATGTAGGTGGGTGTTCACTGTGACGTATAGGGTTGATGGTAGTATAGAGAGGTACAAGGCAAGGTTGGTTGCAAAAGGGTATACATAGACCTATGGTATAGATTTTTTTTTTTTTGATCGATAACAGAAATCTTTATTAATGAATAATACTTGTGAAAATTAATTACAGAAAATGGTGAGGTAAACTATCTTAACTCCCCAACATCAAAATGGCAACAAAATACTAAAAATATGCCCAAAATAAATAATCCTTAGCCACCCCTTGCTTAGCTAACCCATCAGCCATTGAGTTAGCACTTCTCTTCACCCAGCTGTATTGCACCTCTAAGTCCTTACACAGCCAATCAAATTTTTTCTTCTCATTGCTGTAGCTCCACAAACTACTGATATCTCCTTTTAGCCACCTAATCACCACCTTCAAGTCCCCCTCAATCACTAAGCATCTAATGCTTAATTCTCTTGCTCTTTGGATTCCTTCAAGATCTGCTAGACGTATGGTATTAGATTATCTGGAGACCTTTGCACCAGTGACTAAGATGAGCTTAGTTTGGATCCTTTTGTCTCTAGCAGCAACTTACTCATGGTTGCTCTTTTACTTTGATGTCAAAAGTGCTTTCCTTAATGGTGATTTGTAGGTGTATATGGACTTCCAGCTAGTTTTTATAAGGATGTTGGTGAAGGAAAGGTTTGCAGGCTGAAAAAGTCATTATATGGTTTGAAGCAATCACCTTGAACATAGTTTGACAGGTTTAAGGGGGCACTGATTCGTTTTGGATACACGTAAACTCAATTGAATCACTCTCTTTGTGAAGAGGAGAGGATCCCTTGTGTTAGTGTTGATTGTGTATGTGGATGATATAGTTGTTATAGGGAATGAACTAAGTGAGACTGATGCACTCAAGAAGTCACTGTAGTAGGAATTTGAAATAAGGCCTAAGTGAACTAAAATATTTTTTGGGAATTGAGGTTGCAAGATCCAAGCATGGGATATTCATCTCTTAGAGGAAGTATGTGTTAGACCTACTACAGGAAACTAGGAAACTAGGAGTTAAATCAGCTGATACTCCTATTGATTAGAACCACAAGATTAATGCTTTAGATAGTGAGTTGGTTAAGGATGTAGGGCGATATCATAGAATGGTAAGTCGGCTACTATATTTGTGCATGACACACCCAAACATTTCTTATGTTGTGAATGTTGAGTTAGTATATGCATGCTCCTCGAATTCAGCACCGGAGGCCATTGATAGGATACTTGCATACCTGAAGAAACATCTTGGCAAAGGAATTCTATTCACTGATCATGGGAACTTGAAACTGGAAGCTTATACAAATGCGGATTAGGCAAGTTGATGATAGAGACCTACATCACAAGTATGTACCGTTGTGGGAGGAAATTTTGTTTCATGGAAAAAAAACAATAAGTGGTGGGCAAGGTCAAGTATAGAAGCCGAGTATAGATCAATGGCCCATGATGTTTCAAAATTGCTTTGGATTACATCGTTGTTGAGTGAGATTGGGATAGATGCAAAAGAGCGTATGATGTTATACTGTGACAACCAAACTGCAATCAATATTGCCCACAACCCAGTTCAACATGACAGAATGAAACATATTAAAGTTGATAGGCACTTTATAAGAGAGAGGATGATAGCTAGAGCAGTGTTTTAAAAGCACAAGGCGCAGAGGTCAATTTACGCTTGAGGCGCAAGGCAAGGCGCGTGCCTTTTTAAGCAAGGCGCAAAAATAAAATAAAAAAGCTAAAAATAAAAAAAAAAATAAAAAAATGCAAAAAGAATCAAAAATTTATAAAACATAATATCAATAAAAATATAAACTTAAATTTTAAAATAAATGTTTTAAAAAACCTATTATCTAAAATTAAAATACATAAACATAACATGTAAAGCATATTCAAATGAGAATTTAAAAATAAAATCAAACATACAAAAAATTTTCAAGCATATAAAACCCACAATCTCTTTTTTTCTCAATTACATTACTTCAAGTAGCTAATGTGACATATTACATTCCTAATTCTATGAGTCGCCTTTGTGTCACGCCCCGGACCTAGCCGCTAGACTCAAAAAAAGGAAAAAAGCGTCAAATTTTCAAAAGGCACATGCCTGGGCTGAGGCGCAAGGTGCACCAAGCACACGCCTAGGCGCGCGCCTAGGGCCTGGGCAAGGTGCCTACCCTAAAATGTGCCTCGCCTGTGCGCCTAGGCGCGAGGGGGATGTTGAGGATTTTACAGTTTTTGTTATTTGTTTAGTTAGTAAGTGGGGACCACAACACACTGTTTGGAAGCTTTCGGAGTAGTGTTTCTTATGTTTTTATCGGGTTTTTTTGTATCAGCCATCCTATAAGGGCATATCAATCATTGTACATAGTTTTTATTTCAAGTATAAATACTAATGGAAGAGGGTGGCCAAATCTAATTGCTTTCTCTTCCTTTCTTTACTCTGTCTTCTTCTCTTCTCTCACAAAAACTTCATTTTTTCTTCCTCTTCTACAATTTTTTTTTAATATTTTATTTCAGCAGATTTCTACTATAATGTCATAGGGCCAGCTAGACATAACCAAAAAATGAAGCTTGACTTGGACTTAGACTGGCCTGACTCAATTGAGAATATCATAGAGGTCCTGCTTCAACTTCGTTTAACAAAGCCCATGTATCACACGGGTCCCAACTAGTCTAATTGTAAATTAAAAGGTGATTGGGGGGAGAAATCTAGCACATACATTAGGCTGCCAGTTGTATTGATCATAACATTCTTTTATGATCTAATAAAGAATCTCAGTTAAAATTCTCAAAAAAAAAAAAAACATAAGAAACCTAGTGATTGAAACTTTTTAATGTTGTATCATTTGAAACTATTACCCATGGACAATCAGATTAGGACCGTATCCAGTCCACCCCTCCCAAGATCCTAGATAAGTTGGGACCAACATTGGGTAACCGCCTTTACAGTAATAACAAATAATTGCTCAAGGACACATAAGAAAGAGAAGGCCTGTAAATAGAGACAGTAAATTAAGATCAAGGTGCTCTTTTGCTATATGCTGGAGGATCTGGAAGGAAGCTGATTCAAGAATCTTAGATGATTGAGCTTGACTCGCCCAAAGACCAGTTCAGGCATTGAAATGATGCTTAAGAGCTGGCCCTTAGTCCCATATGAGTTTAACGTTTTAAGTAGAGTTCATACTGAAATTGGGAAGATATTTGGGTGTTCCTTTATGTGTTCTTCTTCCTGTTGGTCAGCTTTTTACTGGTCAAGGACTTCCCTTTCTTTTTCAATAGTTTTGTATTGATTATATATTGATTAAAACAAACATGATGTCTCTTCCTTGGTTTAAACAAGCACCCAAGATGTGTCTTAAAGATCTATGGAAATTTCAATATTACAAGTAACAAACAGAATAAAAAAATGGCATATACCAGTGATAGGTTCATATCAGAACCATTTTTGACTTCTTTTGCACCAATAGTTGGTACTATATTTCTTGAAGCAGCACTTAAATTACTTTCATACTCCTCTAGTCTTTCAACAGCCTCTGCCATATCAACCTGAAAACAGTCAAGATTCTAGCACATTAGCTGACACCATATAGTTTGGGATAAGGCTTAGATGATGATGATGGTTCTAACACATTTTTCCCTGTTTTTCCTGCAGGAGGGGAGGGGGGAATAATACCTGCCCAAGAAGAAAGGAGCAAAGAGCTTCCTCGATCTTCAAATCAATACCTTCTGATGCTACCAAACACTCACAAATGGCCTTCGCCTTAGTAATCTATATGTAGTCATACCAAGAATAGCATAAGAGATGAGTGGGTACAAATATCATTCTTGGAAATAGGAAATTGTAAGTTGCTTATTATTACTTATCTTCTTTTTCTAATTACTTTGTAAAATCACTGAAAGAAGGAAACAATAGGCAAATACTTGGTTCTGGGGCAACAAGACTTGAAAATTGGTATGGGGCCCCATAACTTGCAGTTGTCCTTTATCCAGAGGATCAAAACCCACAATTGGACAGATTGCATCATGGACATGAAGTTGGATAAAATTCAGATTGAAACATGATAGTAGGTACATGCTTCTACAGTTTACATCCGGATGCTAGAAACCAAAGGTTCCATGGAAACTCTTAGAAAGCTCAAGAAGATAGTACATAAATCAGATGGCTGCAAGTGATCTATTTGTGCCGATTTTTGCTGCTGACATTCTTTTGTTTGGACCTATCCGGTTCTATTTTTTGAGCCTCAAGAATATACAACAGGTGGCAAATTAGGCAGACCCCAGGGTAGCAGCCACCAGCCCTTTGTCCCAAAACCCAGTCCACTACTACGAAATGTACCATTAGAAAATATTTCACTTATTAAACTATGAACAGAGAAAGCCAAGTTTGGGAGTAAATCCTAAGACAAGGGGATGGAGGAGTTTTTACCAGCGAGAAGATGGAGGAAAACTCTGAAGATTGAAGCAAAGACCTTCGTGATGGAGGAAATTTGGACTCGGGGAGCATTGGCTCTGAAGATAGTGGAGCTGAGACGAGCCTCCCTTATTCTTTCTGGACGAGCAGTTTTGTGGTTCAAAGGAGTGCTAGAAGGGGCAAAAAATGCGACACCAGAAAGAGGAGGGAAGAATTATTACACTGAAGTAGGAAGAAAGTATGTTGCAGAGACAAGAAAACAAGAAGGGCAGGTATATTGGAATTTATGAGCATTATGGCGAGGGTCTGAAACAGTTTACCTGTTTCCCTGAAGGAAGAAAGGCGTCGGGTTGGGACAAGGTCATACAAGCCATTCAGGAATTCTCCAAAACGGCTTTGGAAAACAGAAAAGGCGAGGAAAAAGCACTCAATGCAGGAAAAAGGCAGGAAAATTTACTGAGGGAATTGGGTGAATCAAGGGAAGAAACAACATAAGGAGAGGAAGATGAAGATCTACACTTAGCAGCACATTTGAGCAAGCTCAAAACGTGGGTGAATCAAGGGAAGAAACAACATAAGGAGAGGAAGATGAAGATCTATACTTAGCAGCACATTTGAGCAAGCTCAAAACGTGGGTGAATGTATCTAAAGAAGAGTGGGGGGAAGAGGCTGGTCATCACGGCAAAGGAAACTGTTGGGAATTGGACTAGCCTAGAAGAAGAAGTTAAGCAGGTTCTGAAGATTTCAGGAAAAGTGGAAACTCGACCTTTTGAAGGGAGTAAAGCAGTGTTAATTTTACACGAAGGAATGCAGGTGGACCTACCTATCTCGGCCATAACTCAACAAGGCCTGGTAACAGTGGAGAGATGGTCTCCCTGCACTAATAAAAAACTCGTCGAGCCAAGCACTCGTATTGAGCTGAGAATTCTGGGGATGCCTTTTCACTTTTGGACCTTGGAAATATTTACAAGAGTTGCAAAACTTTGTGGAGAACTGGAGGCCTTCATTGTCAATAACCTGAGAGCAGCTGTAGTTCATGTGGTAGGAGCAAAACCAGCGCTAATCTCTTGAGTGTTAGAAGTATATACTGGTGGGGTAGAATACAAAGCCTGGATTGCAACCTCCATGGAAGCTCAGTGGTGGGAGGAAGGACGTCCTGGGGAAGACGATGATGACGTGGCAGGAAACCGACAGAGAGAAATACGGAGAGTAAGAAGTTTCACCGCTGAGGAAACTCTGAAACTAGGGAAGGAAAAGATAAAGCAGCAGAATTCCTTTTTTATCAGAAAATCAGATCCATGATTTCAAACTTCAACGGCCAACCTCAAATCTTTTGCCCAGGTGGTAGCGTCTAATTCTGGGAGAGGACAGGTGGCTGCAGGGCCTCGAAATTCGATGAGGGTAGACGGGGGTCAACAGCTCTTACACTCTCATAGACTAGAATGGGAACATAGGCCAGGAAAGCAAATCTTAATACACTCAAGTCAAAAGAAATGTGAGCCATTGATGAAGGGAGAGATGGACAGAGTGGAACAGTGGCGACAAACGGGGAATATGGGATTGGAAACCTAGACTAGTCTCCTACTCTATAAGCCAAGAAAATCCGAATCCTCAGCTAATGGCCAGAGTGGAACAGTGGCGACGAACGGGGAATATGGGATTGGAAACCTAGACTAGTCTCCTACTCTATAAGCCAAGAAAATCCGAATCCAAGATATGATTGAGGGAATGATAAGGACGAAGATTGCGATTCTGATCAGGTCAGCCTGGATGAGGAGCACACTGACGAGGATGCCTTTTCAGAGCACTTCAGTTTAGGAAGCGTGGAAAGTAAAACATGTGCTCTGTTTGATCTAGAGGAAGATGACGGGTTGAAGCTATTGTTCCATGAAGATCCTGATGAAACGAAGAAAGGGGCTACAGCTAAAGAACAAACAATATTGGGAAGAGAGGATGCTATTTTGGGCCAGGGGAAAGCTCAACCACAGGAGGTTAGAGAACCAACTACAGCACAAGATCAAGAGCAAGATGGTAATGGGTGTAGTAAATCCAATCCACTGACTCTCGCCAAGGCCACAACAGACCCCATCTTTAACTCCAAGGATCACCCCCCCCCCGAAAGCAGTAGGCTATTTCTTGAAAACCAAGGTCAACAAAACCACACAGTTTGCTCATCCCAGCTCCAAGGTATCATACACCCTGTTTTTTGTGTGGGTTCTAACTCTTCTTCTATTCTTTCTTCTATGCCCACAGGTGAGATCAGCCCAACCAAAAAGTCTGCTACTGCCAGTGAATCGACAGAGGTGGTGGGTACTGATGAGTTGAGAGAGGTTGATGAAAAGGAAGGAGACAGCATTTGGGAGTTGATTATGGAGATCTTTAGGATGCTAGTGAAGGAGGAATTAGGAAAAGAAAAGAACAAGGATGAGGAGGGTGACACTTCTCTTCCTGAGCTAGAGGAGGTGAGGAAGGAGGTTGGGGTAATGGCAACTATTAAAAGAGGCCAACGGAAAGGCAAAAAGAAAGGAAGGAGTAAAAAAAGAGTAAGGAAAACCTGACTGAACCAAAGGACCTAAGAAATAAGGTAGGAGGATCCAACAAGAAAAGAAAGAAGAAATTAAGTGAGGTGGAGAGGCTCAGATGTGAAGTGGATTATGATAAAGGGAGCATTGGAAGAAAAGATAGGAAGAGGTAAGGACGGGGACATAGTTGAATAAGAGATCAGACTCATTTTGTTCACATGAAGATAATAAGTTTGAACATGAGGGGATTGGGAAGTGCGGACAAAAGAAGAGAGATAAGAGAGATGTTGAGAAAGGAGAAGCCAGACATTGTCTTGATTCAAGAATCCAAATCGATGGAAGTGGATAGAAGGTGGGTAAGACAGATTTGGACTGCTAGGGGAATTAGTTGGGCCTTTTCACAATCCTAGGGCTCTTCCAGAGGAATCATTACTTTGTGGAGAAATGAGAACATGGAATGTATGGACGAACTGATAGGAAATTTCTCGGTTTCCTTGAAGATAAAAAGAAAGATGGCTTTGTTTGGGTCCTAACAAATGTGTATGGGCCTACTTACAGGGAGAGGGAAGGTTTTTGGGAGGAACTAGCAGCAATTAGGGGCCTATGGGAAGGCCTATGGTGCTTGGGGGTGACTTCAATGTGATCGATCAGGTTCCTACAGGAAACAAACAACCCTAGACATAGGATTACCTCCAGTATGAGAAAATTCAACCTTTTGGTGGATTCCAATCAGTTGAGAGTGTTACCCCTACTACAAGCACAATTTACCTAGTCTAATTTTCAAGAGACACCCATTTGTTGCAAACTGGATATATTTCTCTTTTCTGTGGATTGGGAGGAAGGGTGGTGAGGTCTGGTAGTTAAAGCCTTACCTAGAACTACCTCAGATCATTGCCCAATCAAAATTTCCCAAGAAAGAGTGGGAGGAGGCCCTAGCCCTTTTAGATTTGAGAATATGTGGCTGTTACATCTGGATTTCAATCCAAAAGTGAAAAGGTTACAAATTTTACAAAAAATTACAAAGATTAAAAAGTCGGGCTAAGGAGCGGAATAAAGAGGATTTCGGGATTTTGAAGGAAAGGAAGGCACATTTCTCACAGAATAGAGCAGCTAGATGGGTTTGAAGGGGAAAGGACAATAAGAACAGAAGAGAGAGCTGAGAGGTGGAGGCTAAAGAAAGTGCTCGAAGAGATTTTGAGAAAAGAGGAGGTGAGTTGGCGGCAAAAATATAGATGTCGTTGGTTAAGGGAAGGGGATGGTAATACAAGCTTCTTTCACTTGGTAGTCAACGGAAGGAAAAGAAGAAATACCATATCCCAACTAGAGTGGAATGGCCAAAGTCTAACCAGGGAAGAGGATATTGTTCAAGCCTTTGTGGATCATTTCAAAGCCATCTTTGCTAGCCAGGGGGGAGTCAGAGACCCTTTAGAGAACCTCGTCTGGAGGAGAGGATCTAGGGCTTTGTTGGACTCCCTAGAGAGAAAGTTTGAAGTTCAAGGGATTAAGGAAGCAATTTTTTTTCTATGGAGAGATCCAAAGCCTCGGTCCAAATGGTTTTACGATGGCCTTTCATCAAGATTGTTGGGAAATTGTGAATGGCGATCTAGTGGAAGTGTTTGATGAATTTTTTGAAAGGGGTAAATTCAACTCAAGTGCAAATACGACCTTTATTGTCTTGATCCCTAAAAAAGCATATGCATCTCACCCAAAGGATTTTAGACCCATCAGCCGTGTGGGTAGCATGTACAAAATTACCTCCAAGGTGTTAGCTGAGAGGATTAAAAAAGTCATCCCCTCTTTAATCTCTCCAAATCAAGGGACCTTCATGTTTGGTAGACAAATAATTGACCAAATCCTCATTGCCAATGAATGTGTGGAATTCAAGAAAAGGAGAAAGAAAAAAGGCCTAGTGTGTAAATTGGGCCTGGAGAAAGCCTAAGGCTTGGTGGACTGGGATGTTCTTCTAGAAGTTTTAAGATTGAGAAGCTTTGGTGTGAGATGGTGTAATTGGATGAAGGGTTGTATCTCCTCCTGTCATTATTCCAAATTGGTTAATGAAGTAGCTAGGGACTTTTTTCCAACTAAAAGGGGCCTTCAACTAGGTGACCCCCTCTCCCCCTTCCTTTTCACCTTAATAGCAAATGTGTTAAGCGATTTGATTTCTAGAGTTGATGAGAATAGTCTAATTCGAGGTTGGAGAGTTGGGGGAAACAATGTGGTAGTTACTCGCTTACAGTTTGCAGATGATATTGTTATCTTTTGTGAAGGGGAAAGGGATGAAGTGACTAATCTACAAAGATTAGTAACACACTTTGAAAGGGTTTCCAATCTCAAGGTAAATTGGAATAAGAGTTGTGTAGCAGGACTAAACAAAGAGAGAGGGGAGGTAGAAATCCTTGCTACAATGTTAGGCTGTGAAGTAGGAAACTAGCCATTACAATATTTGGGACTACCCTTGGGAGGAAATCCAAATTCTGATAACTTCTGGGCTCCAGTATCGGAAAGGTTCACAAAGAGGCTTGTAGGGTGGAAGAGAAGTTATATATCTCTAGGAGGTAGGATAACTCTAATAAAGTCAACCTTGACTAACTTGCCAGTTTACTACCTATCTACTTTTATGGTCCCTACCAAAGTGGCCAATCAACTGGAGAAACTAATGAAGGACTTTTTGTGGGAGCTAGGAGACACAAAAAAGGACCATTTCGTGAAGTGGGAGGCGGTGTCAAGAAGTAGGAATAGTTGAGGGCTAGGGATAGGAAGCATTAAACTTAGGAACTTGGCACTATTGGGAAAATGGTTATGGAGGCTACCTCTGGAACAAGAGAACTTGTGGCACAAAGTGATTATAAGCATTCATGGCATGGCAGACAATGGTTGGGGCGCTGGTCTTGATCCTAGGGCATCATGGGCATCTCCTTGGGAAGCAAACCACAGTTTGTTACCTTCTTTCCTCCAGCATATCACGTATGATGCTTGTGCAAGCAATAAAGTATGATTTTGGGAAGATGTATGGTTTGGAGATACATCGTTCAAAGATAGATTTCCATCCATTTACTCCCTATCTTTTCATAAAGGGAGAGTGATCTCCTCTATGTATGGTAATGACAAATCTTGGGATTTGGGATTAAGGAGAGAGCTAAGGGAATCTGAAATGGGGCCGGTAGATGAACCTACTTCCCTTTTCTTAACACTGTTTTCTAGAACCAATCTTGCTTGGACGATAGAATTTGGCTGATATCCCCCTCTGGATCTTTCACATGTGCCTCTTGTTTCACTATTCTCCATTCGTTACATCAGCCCAGCCCCTTCCCCAAAAAGGAAGTTTGGTGTAACCCTGTCCCCCCAAAAATAAGAGACTTTTGCTGGGAGGTTGTACTCCAAAAGATTAACACCTTGGATAAACTACAAAGAAGGCCAAATTGCTGCCTATCCCCACATGTTTGTTGCTTGTGCTTGGGGAGTGGTGAGACAATTACTCACCTTTTAATATCTTGTCCTTTTGCATCTTTTGTATGGCATTGATTCTCCTCTCTTTGGGTGCAGGTGGACCCCTCCCCCGGATGTGGTAGGCCTATTTGACACAAGTTTCTTCACACTACCTAGGAAAAGGGGTAGAGTATTGTGAAAGGCAACAAGAGCAGCCATCCTTTGGTCAATCTGGGAGGAGAGAAATAATAGGATTTTCCAAGGGGAAGAAAGATCTAAAGAGCAGGTCATTGAATGCATAACCATTGAAGTCTTACACTGGCTGAAAGCAATTGACCTATTCAAAGGCTTTTCAGCTGAGGATATTCTCAGGGAATGGTCAGTAGTGGCAAATTCTTCAACTACAAAGGCTGTGGTTCAGCCTTATTGGGTACCTGCAGCACAATACAGGGTGAAATTGAATTTTGATGGAAGCTCTTTAGGTAATCTAGGACCTTCTAGAGCTGGGGGAGTTTTCAGAGATGGGGACGGTAAGCTGTTAGTACTATACTCTGGCCCCATAGGTGAAGGAGATTCTTTGAGGGCTGAATTGTTGGCCCTACTAGAAGGATTAAGGCTGGTGAAGCAATGGGGCTTTCAAAATTTTGAGGAAGAAGGAGACTCTAAACTATTAATAGGATGGCTGCAGACAAAAAGTTTGGGTGTATGGACTCTCAGGAAACAAATGAAGGAAATACTCTACCTAGCAAGGGAAGCTGGAGTAACATTCAAGTGGGTAAGAAGGTCAGCCAATTCTGTGGCTGATACGCTAGCAAAACAGGGGACCTTCAGGGAAAATCTTTTTTAGGCTCTGTAAGAATTAAAGTTGTTTGGGGTCAGCATTCATATTCTAAATGGTTGACAGTGTGCATGATTAACTATTAAGTATAATGAAAGTTACCATTTCCAATAAAAAAAAAAAAAACTATGAACAGAAAAATGGTTGGGAACCTTTCTTTTGTCTTCATGATTCTGTTTTCAAGAAAAATGAGCATGATTTCTGGTGAGCTATTAAAGCTACTTTTTTCTTGTTCTTGTTTAGAAACTGAAAAGAAAAAAAAAAAAAAAAAACATACCACCAGATCTTAGAATATGACATCAAATCAAAGTGGTGAAAGACTGAGAGGTATCTCCTAGTAAGATAAAGAAAGTACCAGATCTCTCTGCTTGCTCGAAAATCCAAGAGCAATGTGAGCTATCATGGCCATGTAGAAGCAATTGAAATCAATTACAACCCTTTGGTTCTGTGACTCAAGTGACTTTTTGTTCTTGCGTGTAATGGCTAACTCATCCCATGGAAGAAGATCTACTATTTCTGTGGCCATAAGTCTATTAAGTGACTGGCTGAAGAAGCAAGGCCAATCTTGGACTCGGCAGGAAGTTTCCACATCAAGGCCCTGCCTAAGCAATTCACGCAATGCTGCAATTGCACCTCTTCTGCGTTCAGCATTTTCAGGTGTGTGAGGCATGGCTAGTATCTCCAGTGTGCAAGCAGGTGCAAGCTCTTCCAGAGATTCCTCTATCTAGAATCCATCAGCAACCAAATTAATATAAATAAAAAAGGTAGATCCTGGGAACTATGGTATATCAGTTAGACCCTACCTAGATCTCTCAAGAAAACTCAACTAGATATGATGATCACAACTATATGATGTTCAGATTCTTTGCTTAAATGATGCATAACACACATAGAGATGGTTACAATCATATTTGGTGGCAGCCCTGAGGAGATAATCCTTAGTGAAACCTATTTAAATGTCAACCACAGGGCGTGCACCCTGTCCCTGGGGCTGCTCTGGTCAAGTACCGCGTTCTTCAATTGATAACTTTAAGGGAAAGACCAGAAACAGAAATTGTTTTTACCTGAGATAACAATGGCATTTTCCCTAAAGAAATTTTGCTCCTGAGGAGATACTGAGCACGAGCAAGGGCTTCAAATCCTTGGGATACTTTATTTTTCTCAAAACCAATCTTTGCAATGGCACACTTCAAGAAAGTACCTATGATAAGAAAATGATGCATAGAAAGATTTCTAGAAAAAAGAAAAACTGTTATAACATTCTGACCTTGCTGATTTGTTCTTACCTCAGCTAGTGCCATTGATAAAAGTAAATCATGGATATATGGCTTAGCATCTTGATGGTGTAGAGCCGCTTGGCCAATTTCTAGAACCAACTTTTCTTCTCCAACCTGGACAAAAGTCCAATCTAATCATACCTAAGTTGCAGAAATTTGTACCTTTTCAAAAAATAACTTGCAGAAATTTGGAACTTAAAATGGTAATATAAAGTGAATGACTTGGCATCAGGTGTCCACCAACCCTTTAACAAATGCATATGAAAGACACGGAGTTTTCAGACTTGGGACAATTGTTGTCAGATTAGGTAGTGGTGTTAGGAAGAAGATGCCTCACTGGTTTGATCATGAAAAAACGTGAAAAGATCTCTTGCTAAAAGGAGATAACCTTTGGAGAATGATGGATAACAATACAGCTATAATTTTCAATTCAGATAAATGGAAAGAGGTTTTGCAATACACTGTTCAGGCCTGGAAACTAATCCCTCGTAATATGGAATTTTCACCGAAGTAGTTCTAGTATACCTCTGTCCCATGCTTATTAGAAAAACTGGAAAGTGCAGAACCAAATTGCAATATGATCTTTTATGTTTTCAAATTAGGTGATAGAATCACTTCAGTACCTTTGTTACTCTTGATATCTTCTAGTAGTCTAATTAACAACCCCCCCCTAACACACAGGCAAAAACAAACATAAATTGAGATAAGCAAAGAAGCTATGTTTATTTAAATCCTGAGTAGGAATGGCAACGGGTAGGGTACCCATGCAAATTGCCCTACCCATTCCCGAACCCACCTATGTATCCCTGATTCCAAACCTGTCTAACCAGGCTGACTTGATATACGAACAGGAGGTAACAGATAAGCTGAGTATGGTTACAAACCCCAGGGGCAAGTCAGGAACCCACCTTGGAAACAATTTCTCTACATAAGTGCATAGGGTAAACTTGTCTCAAGTCTAGACTCTAGGTATGCAAGCCATGCAACTGCTGGTTCCAGTCACCAACATGTTTCTCTCATAAAATAATTCCGTATTCCTTTACACAATAATCTGAGATGGAAGTGTCTAGAACCCAGATTACTACACCTGTTAACAGAAATCTAAGCAGAAAGTACAACAAAACAGTAAGGGCATACCTCCTGGAGGAGGCAAAGGGCACCAGGCAACCAAGCCCATGGAATGCGAAGTGAAGATTTAGGTGGGATTTTTTCCCTTGCATTACCAGCATACTCTGGTTCAAAAAGAAGCTTATCTCGCACATCCATTAAAAGATCCTGCAAACCCAGCATAAGTCCCAAAAAATATAACCAGTTTTATACCTGTTTAATCCATCATCATATGTCCAAAAGAAAACTTCATAAACCAAATACATTAGAACATTTTACCCTTTACCTGACGGGATACAACAACATCCATGGTGTATCCTTCTTCAATCACAGCACTTTTCAAATCCATTACTGACTTAACTATTTCATCTTTCTCTGCTTGATCAGCAACACCAAGAATCTGCAAGTTTATTGTAATTGAAGGATAACTAAGAAAAGTGGAATCAAATGAGATCCAACATAAAAATGATTTAAGTACAGGTTGCAACATCTGAACCTTTTCCCTGCTTGCTACTGATAATAGACAGTTTATTCCAGAACATCCCCAACATCACCCCAAATTTATCAAATAAGGAAAATTTAATCCAACCATTGATGCCTCTATGCATAAGTGAGTTTTATAAAACAAAGATAAATGAAAAGGCAATCTGATGACTTCTTTTGGAGTTCATATTCATGTCACTAAGTGCCCAAATAGAATTATTTCAGGTATAATTAGAAAGTAAACCATTCTTTTATAATTAACATGATTTTGTTTCATTAATATAAACAGATATGTACAATGCAGATCCAATTCATCCAATAAGAGGTTAGATTTACCCCTCATTAGAGTCGATAGTCGGGTATTTTAGTCTTTATGCAATGTTTTATTAATAGTTGTTTTGTCTATTTTGTCTCTTTTAAGTTATGTGTCCCATACATAATTAAGGACATAAGCGTCTTTGTACCTTAGATCACAAAACATATAAATAAAGAGATGGTCGGCAAGGACAAAGTGTGGATTCTCTCTAGCCATTTCTCCCTATCTTCTTCTCCTTCTCTTCTCTTTCTATTTTGCTCTAGGACTGAACCATTAACATGTTATCAGAGCATTGGTAATCAGCCATTTCTTTCTCTTTGTATCACCTCTCACCCTATTCCTTTGAAGATATCTCATCACCCATTTGGAGGATCAAGCAGGGACCAAAAAGGGTTGGTCGTTTTTCTATTTAGGAGGTAATCATGCCACCAGTAGTTTCTGAAGTGATTGTTTCAGTGAGTTGTTAGAAACCCTTTACTTACTGACTCAAAGAAGGCCGGTTAGTGAACAGTTCATTCGTACCTTGTTTTTGGAGTGGTGATTCAATCCTATTGGGAGTAGAATCCAATCCTATTACCAGTGTTGATCAACAGATGCAAGAAGTGATTTCCGCTTTTCTTTTGGTGCTGAATGTGTGTCACAGCAGTGGATCTCGTTGCTGAAACCTATGACAGTGTGTGTTTCAGCAACGATTGACTACTAGTAATATAGTGTGGTGAGTACTGAACAATGTGGTGTGGTATTTTTTTTTTTTTGATAAATAACAGAGACTTTTATTAAAAGATAACAATGTGGTGTGGTATTAGTGATTGAAGGCTTTATTCTCTTAAACCCATGGCAACGACAAGAGAGAGTAGTGACAATAAATCCAATGTCAAGATTCCCCCCAACTACCTGAACATACAAATGACATCTATCAAATTAAATGGTGAGAATTATGTGTCACGGGCTAAGTTAGTGTAAGTTTTTCTTAGAATCAAAAAAAGGTAAAATATGTGAAAGATGAAAAACCCTCAGCTGAATCTCAAGGGTAGTTGGAACAAGAGGATGCATAGATTATGACATGGTTGTGGAATAGCATGGCGCCTAAAATTTGTTACAGGCCCGCGAATAGGATCTCGTCACGAGTCGGTCCACAGGGAAAACCTCCTGTTTTCCCTTGTTCCTCCCTTTTCTTGAGGAACCTATCTTGGCGCCTTAATGGTGATTTGTTCAAGAGATCACCAACTCTCCTCTACTCTGTCTTGACTGAGAATTTCGATGCCTCTATTGAATATCATTARCTCCTTTAAATAGGAGATTACAAGAAGATAAGAATCCCACTTTTAGGAGGACTCCCTACTGATCTATACTACTGAATTTAGATAAGAACACTGAACAGATAAGACTCCCTACTAGATAAGATGGAACTGTATCTAGCTAGATAAGATCAGTACACTGAATTAGATAAGATAGAACACTGAGTTAATCGCCCATTACTGTTGCTGTCCATTAAACTCTGAATTAATCGCCCATTACTGTTGTTGTCCATCACTGCTGCTGTTAGCGGCTGTAAAAGCATCCACAACATTACTCCCCTCC